CCACCCCGACGCCGGCCAGCCCTTGTGGGAGCTTCTGGCTGGAGGAATGAGGGCCGGCAAACAGGCCGGCTCCAGCCGCGCTCTGGGACCGGTACTCATGATACTCCCCTAACATTGGTAGGGTAGCACTGGCAGAATTTAGCTAGCGCACTAAAACTTTACATTGCTATTCTCCAGCTTTGAGGTCTGGGAGATAGCTCAGCGGGTAAAGTTGTCATGCTGATAGGAAGGGCTGAGTTCTAGCCCCCAGAAAACCGGGGGACAATCCAGGTGTGGGCCAGACAGGTGTCTCAAGGGTTAGGAGCCCTTGCAGCTCTTCCGGGACCCGCATCAGACAGCTCACAGGCGGCTGGCATTCCAGCTCCAGGCGTTCCTATGCCTCTGGCTTCTTCAGAAGCCTGCACTCATATACACAAACTCATATACATATTTAAAAATAAAACTTTAAGAAAAAACAAGCCGGGCAGTGGTGGCACACGTCTTTAATCCCAGCACTAGGGAGGCAGAGGCAGGAGGATCTCTGTGAGTTCAAGGCCAGTCTGGTCTACAAGAGCTAGTTCCAGGATAGGCTCTAAAGCTACAGAGAAACCCTGTCTTGAAAAACGAAACAAACAGAAAGGAAGGGAGGAAGGAAGGAAGGAAGGAAGCAAGCAAGCAAGCAAGCAAACAACCCAGGCATGACACCTATAATTCCAGGCAGGGGAGGTGGAAACAGGCAGATGGGACCAGATAGATCTGCAGTCAGCCTACCCTAATGGTGAATTACCGTTCAGAAAGGTAACAAGCAAGACGAAACAGACTCAAACTTTGTTTTAAAAAATAAAAGGACAACCATTTGTGGGGCAGGGAGTAGGTAGAGCTCAGTGGAAAGCTAGCCTGGTATTCACAGGCCCAGATTCAATTCCCAGCACCACAAAACTTCATTCATTCCTAAGTTACTTATTGCAATACAAACAATTTATCTCGTATGTGTTATTCAACAGTTATTTTCTCTAGGTCTGTAGTTGCTTTGCTTTTGCTTTTCTTCTTTTGTTTTCATTGAATTAAGTGTCTTGTGCCTGCAAGGCAGGTGCTCTACTACTGGCACACATGCGGCAGCCTGGTGGGGTGTTTGCTTGAGATAAGGTGCTGTGGTAGATCTGAGCTCGGGAGGTGGCCAAAGATGATCCTCTTGACTTACCTCCTGGGTCCTAAGGTTTCAAGCACGCACTACCACGCCCAGCTTATGAGGTGCCGGGCCTTGGCCCAGCTTGGCATCCGCTAGGCACACACCTTCCCAGCTGTGCTCTGTCCCTGTCCCCCAGTTTCCTTATTTTGCAGGCTTGTATTCACCTTTTCCAATGTCGTTCGTTTTCTGGCCCACGGATGGTCTTGACACTCTCTTGAAAGCCACACGGTATTTGAGAAGGTTTACATCTGGGCCCGCTATCTTATTCCGTTGGCTTATGTGTCTACTTGTGTTGACTGAAGTTGATTTGCAGTGAATTTTTCAGAATCGGAAGCATAAATTGGGCATAGTGGTGTATGCTCTCAATTCCAGTATTTGGGAGGCTGAGGCAGGAGGATTGAGGGTTTGAGGCAAGGGGTGGACATAGAGCTCAGTTGCCAAACATGGATGGTTTCAAAAAATAAAGTTTATGAGGCCAGCATGGGCGACAAAGTTATGGCAGTTTGAAAGAAAACGCCCCCCCCAAAGGGAATGGTACTATTAGGAGGTGTGACCTTGTTGAAGTTTGTGTCATCTTGTTGGAGGAAGTGTGTCACTGTGGAGGTGGGCTTTGAGGGCTCTCATATGCTCAAGCCATGACCATTTGACAGATCACTTCCTGCTGGTCGAGATAGAAGAGCTCTCAGCTCTTTCTCCAGCACCACGTCTGCCTGCATGCTGCCATGCTCCCTGCCATGAGGACAATGGACTGGACCTCTGAAATGTAAGCAAGCTACCCCAGTTAAGTGATTTCTTTATAATAGTCGCCGCGGTCAGGGCTGGAGAGATAGTTCAGCGGTTAAGAGTACTCAGTTCCCAGCACCCACATGGCAGCTCACAACTGTCTGTACCTCTAAGATCTGACACCTCCCACAGACATATATGCAGGCAAAACACCAATGCACACAAAAATCAAGAAAAAGAAAAGAGTTGCCGTGGTTGTGGTCTCTCTTCACAGCAATAGAAACCTTAACTAAGACAAAAGTAAAGCTTAAAAATCTCCAGTTTTGTTCCTAAGACAGGGATTCACATAGCGTAGCCCAAGCTGGCCTAGAACTCTCCATGTAACTGAGACTGGCCTCGAACTCCTGGCACTTCTGCTTCCACCTCCTGCATGCTGGAGACTGTAGGCACGTGCCACCGTATCCAGCTTCCATTTCTATTCTTACTCGAGGTGGCTATGGCTAGTCTAGGTCTCTTGAGATTTCGTATGGATTTTAGTATGTTCCTGCAAACCAGAACCTCGGGGATTTTGATAGAGCTTACTTGCTTCAGGGAGGCTGCAGGCAGAGGGAACAACATTGGGCTGGCTCTAAACCTTTGTGCAGAATAGCTTAGGGTAGCTGAAGTCCCTGGAGCTGAGCCGGTAAACAGTGGGAAGATGGTGAGTTGCCCCACAAAGACCCTGACTTCAAGGGAGACAAGACATCAAGGAAGAATCCACATAAGAATAAGTGGTGGTCGTCGCTGGGATGGGGGGCGGGGATGGTTACGGAGGACCTTTAAGCCAAGTGCCTCTTAAGGATTAAAGATACAAAGACTTGTGTTTCTAAGCTGTAATTTAGAGACTAATTCTGAAGAAGAGGATTAATACCAGCCAGGTGCCCTGCCCTCTCTTATACTCATGGGAAAGACAGTAAACACCAGACGATACAAGCACGGACAGATGTGGGTGGGAAGCCTGGCAGGCCTGGTAGTTGGCTTGGTCTCTTATTTATTTTCGGAGCGACAACGTGGCAGCAGCATGATAGAACTGGGACGGGCCACCCCTGACTCCCACTTCCACAGCCCAGGAGAAGCTGGTCTCCTTCAAGGCAGCAGCAGGGGAAACGCCCAGCTTTCAGCCAAGGCAAGGAGCAGGACAGGGCTGTGAGCGTGGGCTGGCTTCCTCACCACGAACTCCAGCAGGAACAGCAGGCGTGAGGGGAGACCAAACACTGTCCTCACTGAAGAGGAAAGAAGGTGGCTGAGTGGAGGCCCTGTTGCTTTAGCTTCTACAGAATGAGAATAGCGGAGTTTGTTGTGGGAGTCGTGGCCCTTAAGGATTGCTGGGGAATCTTGGCCCACAGAGACCTGTGAGGTCAAGTTGAGCATCAGAGAAACAGACCTCCTGGGAATCTTAGTGTGATGTAGGATTTGAGCTAGACCAGCATGGCTGTAGGACTTACGTAGATGTAGCAACAGGAGGGTTCCAGATGCAGACACCAGTATGGATACCATGGGCCTATGAGCAAACCAGACAGCCTCAATCAAAATATTTGTGTTGGAGTTTAGGAAGATGGCTCCCAGGGGTGGGGTTGGGGTTTGGGGAGCCTTCTGAGCTAGCAGAGGAGTCAAGCCATGATTTGTAATAACCAGATCTCATTATGGTTTCTTCCCAGTGGAGGACAGTGAAAACAGCACTTAAGGAAAGTTGGTGTGGGCCACACCTGTGCAAAGTGGGTGGGGCAGGGAAAATGAAAGTTCCTTCTGATTTTGTAGCTATCCAAACATGCCATGGTGGAGAGACAAGGAAATTTCAAGATAAGGATTCTCTATACTTGTCTACATGTGAAAGATGGGGAAAAGAGAGAGAGAAAGGTTCAAACAAGTTAGGCATGGTGGCGAAAGCCTTTAATCCCAGCACACGGCAGGCAGAGGGAGGTCAGTCTCTGAATTCAAGGCTAGCCTGGTCTGCATAGTGAGTTCCAAGCCAGCTAGAGCTCCCTAGTGAGATTCAGACTCAAAACAAAACAAGAAGTTTGAAATTAGATGTTGTAGCTCACACCTCATCCCAGCGTTTGGATGCTGAGCATTGGGCTACATAGGAAGACCCTGTCTCAAAACACCACAACAGCCCAGCATTCTGGATGAGAAGGCAAACAAGGCCAGCATGGTACATGTGAGTTCCAGGCCAGTCATGTCTTGAAGGAAGGAAGGAAGGAAGGAGGGAGGGAGGGAGGGAGGGAGGGAGGGAGGGAGGGAGGGAGGGAAGAAAGGAAGGAAAGAAAGGAAGGAAGGAAGGAAAGACGAAAGGTGTGTTTCTTCAGGATGGGGGTAGGGTTGGAAGTCGCATAAGAGCCAGTGAAATAAATGGCCCAGAGGTAAAGGCTCTCACTGCCAAGCCTATGACCTAAGTTTGAACCCCAAATCCTTATGGTGGAAGGAGAGAAGGGACTCCTGCTAGCTTTCCTTGGTCTTCGGCGGCCTTAAAAGAACCCATTCAGACACTGAACGAAAGCAGATTAAAAGAAAGAAGAAAAGATCACATAACAGTCTGAATACTAAAATGGCGGATCTCTTGGGACCATTCAAAAAGCTGCTGTCACAGGTATAGGACTGGAGGGATGGCTCAGTGGCAAAGAGCACTGGCTGCTCTTCCAGAGGTCCTGAGTTCAATTCCCAGCAACCACATGGTGGCTCACATTATCTAACAATTATATTTTACATTACTAGTCAGCTATCTCTCTCTCTCTCTCTCTCTCTCTCTCTCTCTCTCTCTCCTCATGTGGCCAAGGCTAGCCCTGAAGTCATAGATGAGTATGAGTCTGATCCTCCTGACACCTCTCAAACTCAGGAATTATGGTTTCCTTATGATATATATGTGGTGTATGCATGTGTGTGTGTTTATATGGATGGGTGTGTGTTCATGGATGCAC